GGAACCGCACGCGGGGAGGGGTGCAGGCCAGTCCAGGCCCTGGAGAAATGAGGACGAGACTTAGCTACCTCACGGGCTCCTTCCCGAGCAGGGACGCGCTTCCCTGGGGCAGCCCGATCTGGGCCCCAGGGCCTGACACAGAACGCGCAGGTGGAGCCGCACCTGCGGCTGGCGGGCGGTTACGGAGAAGGGGACGTGAGGAGGGGAACTGTGAATTCTCAGGCCCCCAGTTGGGCCAGGGGCTGAGCGAGCCCGGCCAAACCATCACCCAAACGTAAAAAACTGAAAATCCCCCCCCCTTTTCCCTGACCCTTCTTTGTCACAGGACCCCCTGGTTGGGACAACTTGGGCCCCATCTGAAGGGGCCAGACAGGCATTTGGGGGCAGCAGGGTTCCCCATAGACGGTGGTCCATTGCCACCTGCTGCACTGGTCCTCCTGGGTGGGGCGAAGCAGGAACCCTTGCTGGCCCCGACCCCCCTCTTTCCCCCCCCGACCCCAGCTGGGGTTAGGTGCAGTGGACCCAAAGACACCCCTGAGAAGCTCAAGCCGGGTGGTCATGCCTCACTGAGCTGCCTGCTGGAGGAGGCACGGGGAAGGCACAACCTCCCAGCGAGTTTCCTCTTTGGAAACTTGGAACCAGCCCCTTTATGACATTTTCCAGGGGAGGGGACGGGCTCGGGCTGGGTTTATGGCAGTGACACTATTTGTGTAATGACATCAGCTCCCACCAGGCCCCTCAGCAGTGTTTGCAGCTGGGAAGGGCCTGGATGGGTATGGAATGCAGGCTGCAAAGGCTGTTAACCCGGCTGGGGGAAGGGGCTGGCTGAGTCAGGACCCGGTCTGTTGGCTCAGCAGGGCACAGTGTGCCTGCGCCATGGGCAGGCAAGGCCATGAATGACCAGGTTTGGAGAACCACGGAAACCATGACCACTTCCTGCTGCTGCCCTCACTCCTGGCTCCAAGGGGCAGCGGCTGCTGGGCCAAGAAAGCCTGCTGCAGCAACCCCCCGCCCCCACCCCCCCAGCTGCCTGCACCTGTCTTGGTCTACCCCAGGCAAAGCCTTGCCTTCCCTTCCTGGCTGTCCCCTTTGTGCCCTCCCCTTTCCAAAGCTCAGAGACACTGCCTTCAAGCAGGCAGCCCCCACAGGGCCTGTTCCTATGCCCGGGGCCCACGGTCTCCCTTCCCGAGCTCGGCACCTGGCACAGAGTTAGCGGCCTGGCTTCCTCCTCACTCAGGACACTGGCTTCACTCTCCTTTGAGTTCACCTGCTCAGAAGGGTCACACTGAGTGTGAAGGCCGCCCTGTGGTCCGGCCCGCGTCCTGGCTGCCGTGTAGCGAGCACCTGCCCTTGCCTGGCACT